CCCCAAAACCCCAAAACCCCAAAACCCCTCTGATTACCTAGTAGCTAAATCGATATATAGATAATAAATAGATTTTGCTAAGTTTTAACTTAAAAATTTGAATATTAAATGATGGAGAACAGATAAAATTTATAAAGTCTTACACAACCTTTACTAGCAAATGATTATCAGCTCTAGCCTGAGCAAAAGAAATTAAATTTTTGCAAAATGACTTCTTTATTAACAAGTTAATCAATTCAGCCTATGATTGGGACAGTGTTTTTTATGATTTACAATCTTTGGAACTCTGTCCTTCTTGGCTAGCATCCGACTAATTCAAGTGTTAATTTAGCCTCTTATGGTCTTGCTAGCATGACTACAAGTCTTGTTCTCTATTCAACTGGCTATACATTTAATTAATATCTAAGTACTATGATCTCCCAAGCCTATGGATAAAATGATTTAAGACTGTGCTCTCTGTATTTAAATAGGCAGATTATTCTTAATATAATGATATTCATTCCACTCATGATTCCAATTTTCTTTTTGGAGCCAATATACGAAGCAATTGGAATATCAGAGGAAATTTCAGAAATCGCCGCTTAATTTTGTATGATTAATATTCCAGGATAGCTGATAATTAATATCTCTAATTGCTATACAAGATTTTTAGCAGGATAAAGATAAGTATCCTTCGGGATGTATGCTAATGTATTTTCGTCTACTATCTTCCTATTTGTTGCATACTATCTCATTATTCATCTTGATTTATAAGTTATTGGCGCATCTATTGGAGTTAACATATTTTTTTGCTTAAGGTTTATTTTCCAGCAATTATTCATAAGATTCTCAATTTATAATGAAAGACTAGTTAGTATAAATGATAAAGATAATTTCAAAAGATTATTACCCTAATTTGTGATATGCCTGAGAAGTGCATTTATGGGAATCTGGTCATGGTGGGCATTTGATATATTTACCTTCATTGCATCAATGCTTAGTACAGATGAACTCGCTGCTTAAACTATTTGTAGAAATATTGGGCTAATATTCTATATGATACCTTTGAGTGTAGGTTAAGCATCCTCAACATTAGTTGGAAATTCAATCGGAGCCCAAGATATTCCAATGGCGAAAGGATACATAAGAATATCTGTGATAACAGGTTTAGTTTGGGGTGTTATTAGCGTTGTCTTGATGCTTTTGTTTTAGCAATAAATAATCCTAGCATTCAGTTAGTCTCCAGCAGTAATAACTTAGATGAATAGAGCTTTTGAAATATTAAGTTTTTACGTTTTCCTAGATTGTATCTAGCAGACAGCAGTAGGAATTATCGGAGGTATAGGTAAATAGAGTTAGAGCTCATCCATCACGCTCATTGGATTTTGGCTTGTAGGTATTCCTGTAGCTCTAATATTGGTATTCTACCTTGATTCTGGATTATTTGGCTTATGGCTAGCAATGAGCTTAGCATTAATTTATGTCTCAATCTTTTACTTTGTTCTAATTAAAAGAGCTGATTTCAAAGAGATAGCTTTGAAAGCATATATTAGAAAAATAAAGGATAAAGGAAATTGAAGCTTTAGTAAGTAATTTGGTATTTTATTTGAATACTTTAATTTTCCTTACTCCCTAAAATAATATTGTTTAAATTTTCCACAGGGGTTTTGGGGTTTTGGGGTTTTGGGG